GCCTCCCCCACCACAACACCCAACCTTGCCAGCCTCCCCAACACCCCCCTCGCCAGCCTCCCCAACACCCCCCTCGCCAGCCTCCCAAACACCCCCCTCGCCAGCCTCCCCCACTCCCACACTCTCTCCCAAATGTGACCTGAGAGGTGACTGAGCTCTTTGTCTGCCCCCCCCCCCCCCGGGTGTCAGGTTGCCGGTGTCCCGAGGGGTGGCTGCTGCAGGACGGGCAGTGTGTGCCGGTCACACAGTGTCGCTGTGGCCTCCCCACAGCTAATGTAACCACAGAATACCGACCCGGTGACGAGGTGTGGAGAGACTGCAATAACTGGTAAGTCACTGACACGCACGGAAACCCGTCACCGTGACCGGCCGGTGTCTGACACACACGGACACCCATCACCGTGACCAGCCGGTGTCTGACACACACGGACACCCGTCACCGTGACCAGCCGGTGTCTGACACACACGGACACCCGTCACCGTGACGGCCGGTGTCTGACACACACGGAAACCCGTCACCGTGACCAGCCGGTGTCTGACACACACGGACACCCGTCACCGTGACCGGCCGGTGTCTGACACACACGGAAACCCGTCACCGTGACCAGCCGGTGTCCGACACACACGGAAACCCGTCACCGTGACCGGCCGGTGTCTGACACACACGGAAACCCGTCACCGTGATCCGCCGGTGTCTGACACACACGGAAACCCGTCACCGTGACCAGCCGGTGTCGGACACACACGGAAACCCGTCACCGTGACCGGCCGGTGTCTGACACACACGGAAACCCGTGACCAGCCGGTGTCTGGACACACACAGTGGAACGATCGCTGCCCCCTCACCCGCCCCCCCCAGGCTCTGAGTGAGGGTGAGCGGGAGGAGGAGAGGGGGAGGGAGGGGTGGCGGTTGCAGGGTGTGGGGAGTGTATGTGAGAGACATGATGACGAGGGGACACGTGTGTTTTGCAGCACATGTGTGGCTGGGAGGTTGGCGTGTTCGGAGCAGCCCTGCCCCGTGTACAGCGCGTGGTCAGCCTGGAGCCCGTGTTCTGTCTCCTGTGGGGAGGGGCAGACCTCGCGCACACGCACATGCCACCCCATCCCGGGCTCCGCTGCCTGCCAACAGCTCGTCCAGCACACCGCCTGTCACCACAGGGCCTGCCCAGGTGAGACCTCACCCACACACACACCCACACACACACCCACACACACCCCCCACACACACACCCACACACATCCACACACACACACACCCACACACACACACACACACCCACACACACATACTCCCACACACATCCACACATACATACACACACACACACATCCACACACACATTCCCACACACACACACCCACGCACACACATCCATACCCACACACACACACTCCCCCACACACACACATACACACCCACACACACACACACGCGTGCACACACACCCACACACACACGTACATACACGTACCCGCTCACAAACACACAAGCACACACATTGTCACTCACACACACACCCACACAGTCACACACACACGCACACACCCACCCACATGCACACGCACACACCCACCCACATGCACACACACGCACACACCCACACCACACACACACACCCACTCCACACACACACGCGTACCCACTCACAAACACACGCACGCACACACAGTCACTCGCAGGAATTTACGCAGCACCTTTTCCGGTTGGGAGGACGTCCCGAGGCGCTGGACAGTCAGGGATTGGAACCCGAGCCGGGAGGAACGGGGCAAAGGGAGCGTGGGATGGAGGGGTGGGGGCAGGGAGGCTGAAGGTGGGGGTGGAGGGGCGGGGCGGGGGGGCATGGAGCGGGCCGGACCCCGCCGGGCGGGGGGAGCGGACAGGTCGATATGTTTATATTTAACACGTGACGCGTTCCGTGCTACCGTCTGTGCAGTGGACTGTGCAGTGAACTCGTGGTCAGAGTGGAGTGAATGCAGCGCGAACTGCGGAGGAGGATTCAGAACACGGAACAGGGGCATCGTCCGGGAAGCGGAGCCGGGAGGAGCGCCGTGTCCCCACATCCTGACCTTCCAGACACCCTGTAACCCTCACAGCTGTACTCCAGGTCAGGCCCAGGGGGGGGGAGAGACTCTGAGCTCACAGTCCAGGCTGAGGCTCCAGCCCAGCGCCGGGGGGAGAGACCACTGTCAGAGACGCCGTCCTTCAGATGAGACGTTAAACCTCACTCCCCGTCTGTGCTGTGTTCAGGCGGACGTTAAGAGAAGGGAGTGTCTCTCCCTCTCTCTCTCTCTCTCTCTCTCCCGGTGTCCGGGCCGACAATCCCGCTGTTTGCGGGGATAGCGCTGTGTGCAAATTGGCTTCCCGCGTTTGCCTACGGGAAACAGTCACTACACTTTACAGTGTTTGAGTTGCTATCGGTGACCTCAGATGTCGGGGTCGTTATTTCACCATCCACGCCAGGTCCCCCCTGCCCCAAAACTCCGCCGCCCCCATCCTCACCCGCACCAAACTCTACATGCCCATCACCCAGTGCCCGCCTGGTCCCACTGTCCCCAATTACAAGCCCCTCACCCTGATGCACCCACCCATCCACCCCCTAAAACCTCCTATTCTCTACCATCTCCTCTCCCGACAACAACTGTATTTATATAACGCCCCTCTGTACATTTTGTGGGCGAAACGCGCAAACATTTGCACACAGCACTGTTCCAGAGGGAGGGGAGGAGGGAGGGTCCTCCGAGGGACGCAGTTGGAGAGCTAGATTTAAGGTGGCAGTGACTGATCGTGGCGTGGAGAGGGTGGGTGGGGGCACACAGCAAAGCCTGAGTTAGCCGCGGGGGGAGTGGAGGGGGTTAGAGAAGATCGGAGAGAGAAAGGAGAGCCATGGAGTGGGTGGGCTTGTAGGTGAAGGTTGGTGAAAGCCGTTGACCCATCTCTCTCTTCACAGAGTGCCCGGGTGAGCAGGTCTTCGGCCTGTGTGCCAACGCCTGCCCACGGGCATGTTCTGACCTGTGGCCTGGAGTACAGTGCCAACAGAGCCAGTGTGAGCCCGGCTGCCTCTGCCCCACGGGACAGGTGAGGGGGGCGCGGAGTGGGGGGGAACGACTGTGGGAAACCTGCTCAGTTAGGGCACTGTTTACAGACCAAGAGATCCATGAAATTCCAGCCAATCTCAGCTTGGCACACAGTCTCACCTTATGTCGTACAATTAATAGGTCTCCCCCCACATAAACACGCACAACACACACACACGCACACAGCATATGCACACAACACACGCGCACAGCATATGCACACAACACACAGCATATGCACACAACACACGCACATGGCATATGTACACAACATGCGTGCGCGCACACACACACACAGGGTCAGGCCCATCTGATCTTTTTCCAGACTCACCATCCAACCATTCCCCCATCACAGCCTCCAGCTGGTTCTTACACCAGACCCGGGCGAAACCTTAGGACATGGGGGGAACACGACACAAAGGGGCTGAGGAGAGGGCACAGAGGGCTGAAGGTGGCACAGAGGGCACAGGCCATGGCTGATGGAGATATCCCCTGTGTTTGTGTCGAGCAGGTGCTGCAGGGAGAGGAATGTGTGTCTCTGGATGGCTGCCGCTGCCCGCACCCCCCAGCGCCCGCCCCTGGGCTGGTCAACATCTCCCTAGTGCAGAGCGAGGAGCAGCCACCGGGGGCAGTATATCTGGACCAGTGCAACACCTGGTAAATACCACAGCCTCATCCCACTGCATCCCCACGTTCCCGACTCCATCCGGACTCGCTTCCCATGGGAAAATATATTGAGGGGAGCGTGTGTGGGGAGGTTGGGTGGGGGGTGTTCGGAGAGGGCAGGTTGGCAGGAGGGGAGTGTGTGGCGCACGGGGTGTGGGGTGGGGGGGGGGGGTGGGGATGAGATGCTCAGTGGGGGGGTCTGACTGTTTGTTGTGTTTGCAGTGTATGTGAGAAGGGTATCTTCAACTGCTCAGAGAGAGACTGTGACGGTAAGTGGCTCCAAAGCCCTCACCCCCTCCCAATTCCCCCCGTCCCCCCCATCAAACCCCCGCCCTCGCCCAGCACCACCCTCCCCACCCCCAGCCCCAGCCCCAGGTGTTCGTCTGTTTCTCAGGCTCACTCTCTCCGACTCTGCCTCACACTCATTCTCTTTCGCTCACTCACACTCACTCTCTTGACTCTCGCTCTCGGACTTTTTCACTCACTCACTCTCTCACTCACTCTCACTCTCCGACTCGCTCACTCTCTCGCACTCACTCTCTCTGACTCACTCACTGTCTGACTCTCTCACGCTGTGACTTTCTCACTCTCTCTCTGACTCTATCACACTCTCTGACTCTCACTCTTTCTCACTCACTCACTCACTCACTCAGACTCTCGCTCTCTGACTCACTCACTCACTCACTCACTCACTCACTCACTCTCTCACTCTCTCACTCTCTCTCTGCAGTGGACTGTATCTGGTCGGCTTGGTCCGGGTGGTCTGAATGCTCTGTCACCTGTGGCTCCGGTGTCCAGGTCTCCACCCGGCTGCCAGCCCGGGATCGGGAATACGGTGGGAGAGAGTGCCAGGGGCCGCGGGAGCAGAGGCAGCCCTGCACCACGGCTGATTGTGGTGAGCACCAGTCCCCGGGGGGGAGGGGGCAGAGGGGAGGGAACGGACAGGGAGATGAGGGGCAGAGAGTGGGAGGTAAGTGGGGTTTACTCGGGGCTGAACTGGCCCCGAGGTGATCTGTTTGGCATCGAAATCTCAGAACCGAGCCCCCCCCTCTGTGCCGGTCTCCAGTCCGTGTGTGTCAGACACCGGCCGGTCACGGTGACGGGTTTCCGTGTGTGTCAGACACCGGCTGGTCACGGTGACGGGTTTCCATGTGTGTCAGACACCGGCCGGTCACGGTGACGGGTTTCCATGTGTGTCAGACACCGGCCGGTCACGGTGACGGGTTTCCGTGTGTGTCAGACACCGGCTGGTCACGGTGACGGGTTTCCGTGTGTGTCAGACACCGGCTGGTCACGGTGACGGGTTTCCGTGTGTGTCAGACACCGGCTGATCACGGTGACGAGGTGTATGACGTGGGAGGGGGGGGTGGAGGATGTTGGGGAACATGGGGATTAGATACAGTTTACAAACTGAAATGGTTTCCCTGAGGCAGAGTGTCCGGAGGGTGAGCGGTGGAGCCGGGGCTCGGCAGAGACAGCGACGGAGACGGAGACTGAGACGGTGTGTGAGAGGGTGTGTACCGACCTGCACCAGGACATGGCTCAGAACTGCAGCGGCCTCGGCGAGAGGGGCCGCTGTGTGTGCGCTGCCGGGAGGTATAGGACCACCGCGGGGCAGTGTGTGACACCAGCCTACTGCCCGTGTGCCGACGGGCACACCGTGTATCCGGTAAGTCTCCACCCCTTCCCTACCCGGTGCCCGTCTCCTCAGGTCTCAACACCGCCCCCATCACCCGCCCAAACCCACCACACATACACGTTCACACAAACGCACCACACACATACACCACGCACCCGTGCACACACCCTCACGTACACAAGCGCGCACAGACACACGCATGTACCGTCAAAAGGTCAGAAGGAATGACCAATGGGATGGAGTTCAAGGCAGGCTTTAAATGTGGGGAGCGAGGGAGGGCGGGAGGGAGGGGAACAAGAGAGGGTTGAGGAGAGCGGGAGCGAGAGTGGGGTAAGGGGGGAGCAGGCAGGGAGGGGTAAGCGAGAGGGTGAGGGAGGGAGGGTGCAAGGGAAAGAGGGAGTGAGGAAGGGGCGAGGGACGGACAGAATGGGGGAATGAGGGAGGGAGCGAGCGAGGGAGGGAGGAACCGAGGGGAGGGGGGGGAGAGAGGGTGGGGAGGGAGGGAGGGAGGGAACGAGGTGTTGGGACTTGAGTCGCGGACAATGAAGTGGGTTCCCACTTTCACTCTCTCTCTCTCTCTCTCTCTCTCTCTCTCTCTCTCTCTCCCCCCCTCCCAGCCGGGGTTTGAGTGGGACGAGGGGTGCCTGAGCTGCCGGTGTGTCAATGGGATGAAGGCGTGTACAGCCGCCTGCCCCCCACTCTTGTGTCTGGAGGTGAGAGAATCCATCCCGCAAACTGACCCCCGGCGCGTCTGACTGCCTAGCAAGTGTAGTGACTGTGCGTTTTGTGGGTGGAACGCGGCAGGCAGCGACGTCCCCACAACCAGGAGTGAAGTGAGCGAGCGAGTGTATCTGGGGGATTGTCGGCCAGGACACCGGGGGAGAGAGAGAGAGAGAGAGGGTGTGCGTTCCATTCCAGACTCCGGGAGATTCCCATCCGCAGGTGACAGACGTACATGTGGGACTCTCAATCTGCTTTGGAGACTGTGTTCGCAGTGATGGCTAATCACAGTCACCCACAGTGTGTGTGAGTGAGGCAGCGCCGGAGGGAGGGAGGGAACGTGGGAGGGAACGTGGGAGGGAGGGAGGGAGTGAGTGTGGGAGTGAGTGTGGGAGTGAGCGTGGGAGGGAGAGTAAGGTGGAGGGAGTGAGGGAGAGTGCGAGAGGGATGGAGCTGACCCTGTGCTGTGTTGTGCTGTGCTGTTCCCTCAGGGGCAGGTGAAGGTGGAGGAAGTCGGGTCGTGCTGCCCTGTGTGCAGGAGAGAGATACCCGGTCAGTGTTGTGCGGAGAGGCTGCCGGGGTGGGGGTGGGGGTGGGGGGGTGGGGGGCGGTGAGGAGTAGGGAGGGGGGAGAGGGGGGAGCTCGACATGTTGCCAGTTATTGAGGGGAGTTCCCCCTCTATTTCGTCCTTCAATAACACAGCACATCCCAAGGTTTGGGGGTGGGGGGTGAAGGGGATCTCCTCCGGGTGGTCCGGTTCCTGACCAGGAGGGGCCGCGGTGTCCCGGGGCACTCACTGCTGATGACGGCACAGCCCGGCCCGGCTCATCAGCAGGACCTGGAAGGGCCGACCAGTCACCCCCAACGCACTCTCTGGGCCCCCCCCAACCCTTGGCTCTCGCCAACCTGCCCCCGATACTCTCCGTGTGTGTCAGACACCGGCTGGTCACGGTGACGGGTTTCCGTGTGTGTCAGACACCGGCTGGTCACGGTGACGGGTGTCCGTGTGTGTCAGACACCGGCTGGTCACGGTGACGGGTTTCCGTGTGTGTCAGACACCGGCCGGTCACGGTGACGGGTGTCCGTGTGTGTCAGACACCGGCTGGTCACGGTGACGGGTTTCCGTGTGTGTCAGACACCGGCTGGTCACGGTGACGGGTGTCCGTGTGTGTCAGACACCGGCTGATCACGGTGACGGGTGTCCGTGTGTGTCAGACACCGGCTGGTCACGGTGACGGGTGTCCGTGTGTGTCAGACACCGGCTGGTCACGGTGACGGGTGTCCGTGTGTGTCAGACACCCGGCTGGTCACGGTGACGGGTTTCCGTGTGTGTCAGACACCGGCTGGTCACGGTGACGGGTGTCCGTGTGTGTCAGACACCGGCTGGTCACGGTGACGGGTTTCCGTGTGTGTCAGACACCGACTGGTCACGGTGACGGGTTTCCGTGTGTGTCGGACACCGGCTGGTCACGGTGACGGGTGTCCGTGTGTGTCAGACACCGACTGGTCACGGTGACGGGTGTCTGGCTGACGGCTGCTGTCTCTCTGTGGGTAGGAAGCCGCTCTGAGATCTGCCGCAGGTTTACAGAGCTGAGGAATATCAGTAAAGGAGACTGTCACCTGAGGAACGTGGAGGTCAGTTACTGCAGCGGCAGTTGTCTGTCCACAGTCTACGTCATCCCAGAGGTGAGACCCCACCGTCCTGTGAGTGAGTGGGTGGGTGGGTGTCAGTGAGATGTGTGGGTTGTGTGTGTGTGGTGTGTGTGTAGGTGTGTGTGTATATGTGTGTGGTGTGTATGTTTGTGGTGTGTGTGTATGTGTGTCTATGTGTGTGGTGTGTGTGAATGTGTGTGTGTGTATGTGTGTGGTGTGTGATTGTGTGTGTATCTATGTGTGGTGTGTGTATGTGTGTGGTGTGTGTGTGTATGTGTGTGGTGTGTGTGATGTGTATGTATGTGTGTGTGGTGTGTGTGTGTATGTGTGTGGTGTGTATGTGTGCGGTGTGTGTGTGTGTGTCTGTGTGTCTATGTGTGTGGTGTGTGTGAATGTGTGTGTGTGTATGTGTGTGGTGTGTAATTGTGTGTGTATCTATGTGTGTGTGTGTATGTGTGTGGTGTGTGATTGTGTGTGTATCTATGTGTGTGGTGTGTGTGTGTATGTGTGTGGTGTGTGTGTGCATGTGTGTGGTGTGTGGTGTGTGTGTGGTGTGTGTATGTGTGTGTGGTGTGTGTGTGTGTGGTGTGTGGTGTGTGTGTGTGTGGTGTATGGTGTGTGTGGTGTGTGTGTGTGGTGTATGGTGTGTGGTGTGTGTGTGTGTGGTGTATGGTGTGTGTGTGTGGTGTGTGTGTGTGTGGTGTATGGTGTGTGTGTGTGTGGTGTGTGTGTGTGTGTGGTGTGTGTGTGTGTGTGGTGTGTGTGGTGTATGTGTGTGTGGTGTATGGTGTGTGGTATATGGTGTGTGTGTGGTGTATGGTGTGTGTGGTGTGTGTGTGTGGTGTGTGTGTGTGTGGTGTGTGTGTGTGGTGTATGGTGTGTGGTGTGTGTGTCTGTGGTGTATGGTGTGTGTGTGTGGTGTGTGTGTGTGTGGTGTATGGTGTGTGTGTGTGGTATGTTGTGTGTGTGGGTGGTGTGTGGTGGTGTTGTGGTGTGTGGTGTATGGTGTGTGTGTGTGTGTGTGGTGTGTATGTGTGTGTGGTGTGTATATGTGTGTGGTGTGTGTGTGGTGTATGATGTGTGTGTGAGCGGTGTCGGGGCTGTTCTCTGACTGTGTCTCTGTCACTAGGAGCCGTACCTGCGGAGCGAGTGCGATTGCTGTATGGGTGTGTATATATGTGTGTGGTGTGTGTGTGTGGTGTGTATATGTGTGTGTGGTGTGTGTGTGGTGTATGTGTGGTGTATGATGTGTGTGTGAGCGGTGTCGGGGCTGTTCTCTGACTGTGTCTCTGTCACTAGGAGCCGTACCTGCGGAGCGAGTGCGATTGCTGTATGGGTGTGTATATATGTGTGTGGTGTGTGTGCGTGGTGTGTATATATATGTGTGGTGTGTGTGTGGTGTATGATGTGTGTGTGAGCGGTGTTGGGGCTGTTCTCTGACTGTGTCTCTGTCACTAGGAGCCGTACCTGCGGAGCGAGTGCGATTGCTGTAGTTACCGTCTGGACCCGGAGCTGCCGGTGCGGTTTGTGGTGTTGGAGTGCGGAGACGGTGAGACGGAGACCCTGGTGCTGCCCGTCATCCACAGCTGCGAGTGCAGCGGCTGCCAGGGTGAGCGTCTGCGGGCACAGAGAGGGATGGCCTCCTCCTGCCCGCGCTCTACATCAGCATTCTTTATAATAACAATCCGGTCTCAAAGCGCATCACAGGCGACGCTGCGAAAAATACACAGTCACTACACTTCACAGCGTATCCCGTGAAAAAACAGTGGCCGCCATTGTTTTTTGGGTGGGATTTGAGCGATTGGACTGTTGTTCCTTCATTAACGCCAGTTAGCCTTTGCCCCACTGGCCTTCCCGTCATACCCTCACTACCTCTCACCTCCCGGGGATAATAAAGATGGCGGGCGATGTGAGGGGGTGTGAGCGGGTGTGTCAGTGCAGTCGGTAGAGTGTGAGCAGGTGTCGGTGCAGTCAGTGCGGTGTGAGCGGGTGTGTTAGGGTGGTCAGTGGGGTGTGAGCGGGTGTGAGGGGGGGTGTCAGGGTGGTCAGTGGGGTGTGAGGGGGTGTGTCAGGGTGGTCAGTGGGGTGTGAGGGGGGGTGTCAGGGTGGTCAGTGGGGTGTGAGGGGGGGTGTCAGGGTGGTCAGTGGGGTGTGAGGGGGGGTGTCAGGGTGGTCAGTGGGGTGGGGGGGCGGGTGTCAGGGTGGTCAGTGGGGTGTGAGCGGGTGTGTCAGGGTGGGCAATGGGGTGTGAGGGGGTGTGTCAGGGTGGTCAGTGGGGTGTGAGCGGGTGTGTCAGGGTGGTCAGTGGGTGTGAGCGGGTGTGTCAGGGTGGTCAGTGGGGTGTGAGCGGGTGTGTCAGGGTGGTCAGTGGGTGTGAGCGGGTGTGAGCGGGTGTGTCAGGGTGGTCAGTGGGTGTGAGCGGGTGTGAGCGGGTGTGTCAGGGTCCCAGATGCTCTGTTATTCATGTGTTTACCTGTTTATCTTATAGGTGGGGATTTTTCCGGCCGCTGACCTGTGATCCCGTCCGACCTCGCCCCCCCCTCACCGTCACTCACCCCCCACCCCCACACACTGTGTTTCTGTTTGTGTGTGTGTGTGATTGAGTGTGAATGAGTGTGTGTGTGTGTGTGTGTGTGAGTCAATGTGTATGCGTGTGTGTGTGTGTCTCTGTAAGTGGCTCTGTGTGTCAGTGTGATTGTGTGTGTGAGTGGGTCAGTGTGTATATCAGTGTGAGTGTGTGTGTGTGTCTGTTAGTCAGTGTTTGAGTGTGTGTCAGTGTGTATATTAGTGTGTGTGTGTTGTCAGTGTGTATATCAGTGCGAGTGTGTGTATGTCAGTGTACATGGGTATGTATGCGTGTGTATGTCAGTGTATATGGGTATGTATGTGTGTGTATGTCAGTGTACATGGGTTTGTGTCAGTGTGTATATCAGTGTGAGTGTGTGTGTGTCAGTGTATATGGTTTGTGTCAGTGTGTATATCAGTGTGAGTGTGTGTGTGTCAGTGTATATGGTTTGTGTCAGTGTGTATATCAGTGTGTGTGTGAGTGTGTGTATATCACTGTGTGTCAGTATATATTGGTGTACTTCTGTCACTCAGTGTGTGTGAGTTTGTGTATCAGTGTATATTGGTTTGAGTGTTTGTATCAGTCAGTGTGTAGATCAGTGTGTATATTGGTGTGCGAGTGTGTGTGCATCAGTATGTGTCAGTGTTTATCGTTGTGTGTGTGTTTATCAGAGTGTATGTGTGAGTGTATATCAGTGTGTGTTAGCGTGTGTGTCAGTGTCTGTTGGTGTGGGTGTGTGTTTGTGTGTGTATCAGTGTGTATGTCTGTGTGTGTGTCTGTGTGTGTGTGTGTGTCAGTGTGTGTGTGTCTGTGTGTGTGTGTGTCAGTGTGTGTGCGTCTGTGTGTCTGTGTGTCAGTGTGTGTGTGTGTGTGTCAGTGTGTGTGTGTCTGTGTGTCAGTGTGTGTGTATGTGTCAGTGTGTGTGTGTGTGTGTCAGTGTGTGTGTGTCAGTGTGTGTGTGTGTCAGTGTGTGTGTGTCTGTGTGTGTGTGTGTCAGTGTGTGTGCGTATGTGTGTCTGTGTGTCAGTGTGTGTGTGTGTGTGTCAGTGTGTGTGTGTCTGTGTGTCAGTGTGTGTGTCAGTGTGTGTGTGTGTGTGTCAGTGTGTGTGTGTCAGTGTGTGTGTGTGTCAGTGTGTGTGTGTCGGTGTGTGTGTGTGTGTCAGTGTGTGTGTGTGTCAGTGTGTGTGTGTGTGTGTGTCAGTGTGTGTGTGTGTCAGTGTGTGTGTGTCGGTGTGAGTGTGTGTGTGTCAGTGTGTGTGTGTGTCAGTGTGTGTGTGTGTGTGTGTCAGTGTCTGTGTGTGTGTGTCAGTGTGTGTGCGTGTCTGTGTGTGTGTGTGTGTCTGTGTGTGTGTGTGTGTGTCTGTGTGTGTGTGTGTGTCTGTGTGTGTGTCAGTGTGTGTGTGTGTCTGTGTGTGTGTGTGTGTGTGTCAGTGTGTGTGTGTGTCGGTGTGTGTGTGTGTCAGTGTGTGTGTGTGTGTGTCAGTGTGTGTGTGTGTGTATCAGTGTGTGTGTGTGTCAGTGTCCCTCTGTGTGTGTGTGTGTGTCAGTGTCCCTCTGTGTGTGTGTGTGTGTGTCTGTGTGTGTCAGTGTGTGTGTGTCAGTGTGTGTGTGTCAGTGTGTATGTGTGTATGTCTGTGTGTGTGTGTGTGTGTCAGTGTGTGTGTGTGTGTGTGTGTGTGTGTGTCAGTGTCCCTCTGTGTGTGTGAGGGATTCTCTTCTGCCCTCAGTTCTGGCTCTGAGTTTAAGGCTGTGCCCCTCTGTGAACTGCAGTTGTTACCGATTATGACTTATTTTAAGTTACTTCTTATTACTTATTAATAGTTATTATTATCAGTTATTATTATTATTATGTTAGTTGCCGCTGACATTGCCAATGTTCATTGTTTTACAGTCTCTGTATTTTATTGATGAATTCCCTTTTCTTTATCAATGTGTGTAAAACACCAGAGTTTGTATTAAATAGTTACAGTCAATTCGCATCTGACTTGTGTTTGTGCTTCTCCTCTGTGATCGAGACCCCCCTCTGTGCCGGTCTCCAGTCCGGGTCCTGACCAGGAGGGGCCGCAGTGTCCCGGGGCACTCACTGACCAGTCACTGGGGGCCGGGAATCCTCCCCCTCAGCTCCTGGTAACCCCACAGCCAAAGCCCTAACTAACGGGGAGGGGGGTCCTCGCTGGACAAGCAGCGGGAAAGCTGCCGGACAGTGATATCAATGGCCGAGCGGTGTGGGTTTAGCGGGTTACACTCCAGCAGTTACCCCAACACACACTCTGGGGTCCCCCCAAACCTCGGCTCTCGCCAACCTGCGCCTAATACTCTCCGGAATTAGGTAAACAGGATGTGTCCCTCCAGAGAGAGAGAGAGAGCGCATTCCATTCCAACAATCTCTCTGTGAGAAGCTGTCGGAGTCGGGAATCAGCTCCGGTGTGAAACCGGCCGTCTCTGGTCTGTTTCTCAGCCTCGGCCGAGTTACAGCTGTTACTTATCTTCAGGATAATTTCTAATCAAACAGATTTGATTAGAAAAGCTGACGACCTCAGGCCCCCACCCTCACACTGGGATCAGCCTCACTGCTCTCCTCTGTCTCTAACCCTGGGATCAGCCTCACTGCTCTCCTCTGTCTCTAACCCTGGGATCAGCCTCACTGCTCTCCTCTGTCTCTAACCCTGGGATCAGCCTCACTGCTCTCCTCTGTCTCTAACCCTGGGATCAGCCTCACTGCTCTCCTCGGTCTCTAACACTGGGATGAGCCTCACTATCCCCTCTTTCTCTATCACTGAGATCAGCCTCACTGTCTCCTCTGTCTCTAACCCTGGGATCAGCCTCACTGCTCTCCTCTGTCTCTAACCCTGGGATCAGCCTCACTGCTCTCCTCTAACACTGGGATCAGCCTCACTGCTCTCCTCTGTGTCACAGACATTAACAGGTACTGTGTCAGTGACGGGGAAGTCAGTCTATTAATAGGTTTGAAGGTTCATTTGTAAATTGTGTGTCCCTGACCAGGAGAGCCTTCCTCCACCTCCTCCACGTTACCCACCTCCGACTGTACCCTTCCCCAGACCCAGCAAACCATCCATGTGTTGTCACCTCCCAACTCCTCAAATGCCCTCTTTGCCAGTCTCCCCAGCTCCGCCGTGCACAGGATCCCAAACTCTGCCGCTCCCATACTCATCTGTACTAAACCCCGTCCCCCCATCCCCCCAGCCCTGGCCAACCCCCACTGGCTCCCCATCACCCCCACTAAACCCCGTCCCCCCATCCCCCCAGCCCTGGCCAACCCCACTGGCTCCCCATCACCCCCACTAAACCCCGTCCCCCCATCCCCCAGCCCTGGCCAACCCCCACTGGCTCCCCATCACACACACTAAACCCCGTCCCCCCATCCCCCCAGCCCTCGCCACCCCCCACTGGCTCCCCATCACACACCCTAAACCCTGTCCCCCCATCCCCCAGCCCTCGCCAGCCCCCACTGGCTCCCCATCACCCCCACTAAACCCCGTCCCCCCATCCCCCCAGCCCTCGCCAGCCCCCACTGGCTCCCCATCATTGTCATGGCATAGGCTGGAGCCCACTGAGCGGAAGTAATGAACAGGATGGGAGGGAGTTAGGAGGTCGCAGAGGTCGGGGGGAGCGAGGCCATGGAGGGTTTTGAAGGTGAGGACCAGGACCTTGAACCGTATCCCCTGTGTGATGGGAAGCCAGTGGGGTCGGGCGAGGATGGGGGTGATAGGGTCACGGAGCCCGGTGGGGGCGAGGATGGGGGTAATAGGGTCACGGAGCCCGGTGGGGGCGAGGATGGGGGTGATAGGGTCACGGAGCCCGGTGGGGGTGAGGATGGGGGTGATAGGGTCACAGAGCCCGGTGGGGGCGAGGATGGGGGTGATAGGGTCACAGAGCCCGGTGGGGGCGAGGATGGGGGTGATAGGGTCACGGAGCCGGTGGGGGCGAGGATGGGGGTGATAGGGTCACGGAGCCGGTGCGGGAGAGGACACGGGCTGCAGAGTTCTGGATGATCTGCAGTCTGTGGAGGGAGGAGTTGGGGGCCGACAAGCAGTGAGTTGGTGTAGTTGAGCCTCGATGTAATGAAGGTGTGTGTGAGGGTCTCGGGGGCTGCGGTGTGAGACAGTGGCGGAGCCGGGGGATGCTGCGGAGGTGGGGAAGGCAGAGCGGGTCATGGCACAGATGTCGGGTAGAAAGGATAGTTGAGAGTCAAACAAGACCCCAAGGTTCGGGACTGGCTCAGTGAGGTGGAGTGAGCCCCATGGATGGTGATGCTGTCAGGGCCTGAGGTGAGGAGGCGCTGACGGGAGTCAATCAGGAGCCTCGGTCTTGTTGACGTTCAACTGAAGAAAGTTCGCTCTGATCCAGGACTTGACGTCTGACAGACATTGTGTCAGGACAGCAGTGGGTCCTGGAGTCGAGGGCGGAGGCAGAGAGGGAGAGTTGGGTGTCATACATGTGGAAGTTGACCCCATGTCTGCGGATGGTGTCACCAAGAGGAGCATATAGATATTGAAGAGGAGGGGACAAGGACAGAGCCCTGAGGAATGCCACACGAGAGGGTGGGGGGGCTGGAGGAGGAGCCAGGGAGGTTGGAGATGGGGCGGTAGTTTGAGAGCAGAGATGGGTCCAGGGAGGGTTTTTTAAGGATAGGAGTGACAATGTCCATTTTTAAAGGGGTGGGAATGGTACCAGTGGACAGGGAGAGGTTTACGATGTCTGTGAGCAGAGGGTAAGGAGGTGGAGCTGGGAGGTAAGGAGAGGGGTGGGCATGGGGTCGAGGGAGCAGGTGGTGGTTTTCATGTGGGTTATGATGGTGGTGAGAGAGAACCTACAACCTCCTAACCCCAGGGAATGGGAGTGCAAGTGGCTGAGCCGGACTGTGTGTGTGAGGGAACCAACCTTCAACTGAACCACAGGGTTGGGACCCGGTGAAAACTGGTGTTTAATATTAATATTAATAATTAACAGAGACCTTTAATTCATCTTTGAACCAGGTCTTTCCACAAAGATAAGTTTGGGAGTAAAGGAGGAGTGCGGACGGAGAGAGAGGGAGTGAGCGAGCGGGAGTCAGACAGTCACCCAGGACGCTGCGGTGACTCCTGATCCTATTCCTCGTGGGCGCAGGTGAGTTTGACAGAGACCTGGAAGAGCCGACCAGTCACCGGGTCAGGGAATCCTCCCACTCATCTCCAGAGAGGCCCTTCGGCACAGACTGAACTCGGTGTCCACCGTGACCCTCACACACTGAGAGGAATGATAATAATCCTTGCATTTTATACAGCGCCTTATCACTTCGCTGAGACGTCTCAAAGCGCTTCACAGGATCTACTGTAAAGTGTAGTGACTGTGTGTTTTGTGGGTGAAACGCGGCAGCCATTTGCACACAGCAGCGTCCCCACAAACAGTCGTGGATTGAGTGATCAATTTATTATTTTTCTTGAACAGTGTGTAATGAGGAGAATGTGTGTGTAATGAGGAGTGTGTGTGTAATGGAGAGGGAGGTGTAATGAGGAGAGTGTGTGTGTAATGGAGAGGGAGGTGTAATGAGGAGAGTGTGTGTGTAATGGAGAGGGAGGTGTAATGAGGAGAGTGAGTGTGTGAGTGTGTAATGGGGAGGGAGGTGTAATGAGGAGAGTGAGTGTGTGAGTGTGTAATGGGGAGGGAGGTGTAATGAGGAGAGTGAGTGTGTGAGTGTGTAATGGGGAGGGAGGTGTAATGAGGAGAGTGAGTGTGTGAGTGTGTAATGGGGAGGGAGGTGTAATGAGGAGAGTGAGTGTGTGAGTGTGTAATGGGGAGGGAGGTGTAATGAGGAGAGTGAGTGTGTGAGTGTGTAATGGGGAGGGAGGTGTAATGAGGAGAGTGAGTGTGTGAGTGTGTAATGGGGAGGGAGGTGTAATGAGGAGAGTGAGTGTGTGAGTGTGTAATGGGGAGGGAGGTGTAATGAGGAGAGTGAGTGTGTGAGTGTGTAATGGGGAGGGAGGTGTAATGAGGAGAGTGAGTGTGTGAGTGTGTAATGGGGAGGGAGGTGTAATGAGGAGAGTGAGTGTGTGAGTGTGTAATGGGGAGGGAGGTGTAATGAGGAGAGTGAGTGTGTGAGTGTGTAATGGGGAGGGAGGTGTAATGAGGAGAGTGAGTGTGTGAGTGTGTAATGGGGAGGGAGGTGTAATGAGGAGAGTGAGTGTGTGAGTGTGTAATGGGGAGGGAGGTGTAATGAGGAGAGTGAGTGTGTGAGTGTGTAATGGGGAGGGAGGTGTAATGAGGAGAGTGAGTGTGTGAGTGTGTAATGGGGAGGGAGGTGTAATGAGGAGAGTGAGTGTGTGAGTGTGTAATGGGGAGGGCTGTAATGTTACAGTCCCAGTCAGGGTCGGGGTTGGTGTTATAGCTGCAGATGGCCACCGGGTGGCGATACATCACCATTGACCACTGCCATTTGATGGTGATTCCCCTTCAGCACATCTCACAGCTTCACTGTAAAGTGTAGTGACTGTGTGTAAAGTGTAGTGACTGTGTGTAAAGTGCAGTGACTGTGTGTAAAGTGCAGTGACTGGATATTTTGTGGGCGGATGTTGGAACATCGCAGGAAAGTGTTCAAACCCGACGCTCCCTCAACACACAGACACAGACTGGGAATTATTGTGTTTATTACCTGGTTTTATGACACTGTCAGTCCGGCTCAGCCGCTAAACTTTAACAAAGACGTCGGTCGGGGTGACAGAGGGAGACCGAGGAGATGTGGTCGGCTGACCCCGGGGAGGAGGGGTTGGGCTATGAGCGGAGCTCGGAGGAACTGGGGCTGTTCTCGCTGGTATAAAGCAGGTTGAGGGGTGACCTGATCGAAGGGCTTTAACGTGGTGATGGAGTTGAGAGGGAGACATTATTTGCACCGGCCGCCGAGTCAGTGACCGGAGGCCATCAGTTTAAGATAGTTAGTGAACGAGGAGGTTCGGAGAGATGTTTACGCGCAGAGAGGTCAGGATAAGGAATGTCCTGCAGGGAACTGAGCTCAAGGCAATTCATATTGGCTTTAAGATGGCTTGAAGTTCGCTCAAAGAGAAAGGTCTTGAATGGGGGCCTTGAAGGAGGCGAGGGTGGGGTGGGGGCAGAGGCTGAAGGCTCGACCGGCGATGGTTGGGGGGGGTGGGGGGCGGGCGGGGGATGTGGAGCAGGTAGAACCTGCTGAGCGGAGGGAGTGGACAGGTTGATATGGGGTTAGCAGATCACAGGTCGGGAGGAGCGAGGCCGGGGAGGACTTTGAAGGCGAGGGCGAGGATTTTGAACTCTATCCTCTGGGGGATGAGGAGGCAGTGGAGTCGGGCGAGGGTGGGGGTGATGGGGTCACGGAGCCCGGTGCGGGAGAGGACACGGGCTGCAATTCCTTGATGTAAGGGCTCGAGCACACGACCTCCTGACTCAGAAACGCGAGAGAGAGAGCGAGGGTTGAGAGGGCAGAGGGAGAGAGAGGGAGCGAGGGTTGAGAGGGCAGAGGGAGAGAGAGCGAGGGTTGAGAGGGCAGAGGGAGAGAGAGCGAGGGTTGAGAGGGCAGAGGGAGAGAGAGCGAGGGTTGAGAGGGCAGAGGGAGAGAGAGAGCGAGGGTTGAGCGGGCAGAGAAGAGAGAGAGGGAGCGAGGGTTGAGTGGGCAGAGAGAGGGAGAGAGCGAGGGTTGAGTGGGCAGAGAGAGAGAGAGAGGGAGGGTTGAGCGGGCAGAGAGAGAGAGAGCGAGGGTTGAGCGGGCAGAGAGAGAGAGAGAGAGCGAGGGTTGAGCGGGCAGAGAGAGAGAGAGCGAGGGTTGAGAGGGCAGAGGGAGAGAGAGCGAGGGTTGAGCGGGCAGAGAGAGAGAGAGAGAGCGAGGGTTGAGAGGGCAGAGGGAGAGAGAGAGGGTTGAGAGGGCAGAGGGAGAGAGAGCGAGGGTTGAGAGGGCAGAGGGAGCGAGGGTTGAGTGGGCAGAGAGAGAGAGAGGGAGGGTTGAGCGGGCAGAGAGAGAGAGAGCGAGGGTTGAGCGGGCAGAGAGAGAGAGAGAGAGCGAGGGTTGAGAGGGCAGAGGGAGAGAGAGCGAGGGTTGAGCGGGCAGAGAGAGAGAGAGAGAGCGAGGGTTGAGAGGGCAGAGGGAGAGAGAGCGAGGGTTGAGCGGGCAGAGAGAGAGAGAGAGAGAGGGTTGAGAGAGAGAGAGAGAGAGAGAGAGAGGGTTGAGAGGGCAGAGAGAGAGAGAGAGAGGGTTGAGTGGGCAGAGGGAGAGAGAGAGGGTTGAGAGGGCAGAGGGAGAGAGAAGGTTGAGAGGGCAGAGGGAGAGAGAGCGAGGGTTGAGAGGGCAGAGGGAGAGAGAAGGTTGAGAGGGCAGAGGGAGAGAGAACGAGGGTTGAGTGGGCAGAGAGAGAGAGCGAGGGTTGAGCGGGCAGAGAGAGAGAGAGCGAGGGTTGAGAGGGCAGAGGGAGAGAGAGAGAGGGTTGAGTGGGCAGAGAGAGAGAGAGCGAGTGTTGAGTGGGCAGAGAGAGAGAGAGCGAGGGTTGAGAGGGCAGAGAGAGAGCGAGGGTTGAGTGGGCAGAGGGAGAGAGAGCGAGGGTTGAGTGGGCAGAGGGAGAGAGAGCGAGGGTTGAGAGGGCAGAGGGAGAGAGAGCGAGGGTTGAGTGGGCAGAGGGAGAGAGAGGGTTGAGAGGGCAGAGGGAGAGAGAGAGAGGGTCGAGAGGGCAGAGGGAGAGAGAAGGTGTGATGAGGAGCCACTCACGAACCCTCCGGACAGTTGTGTGGCTACACACAGTGACGCCGAGCTCTGTGGTGCCGGAACTTGGGGTTGTAGTCGGTCTGAGAACCAACGCAGACGGCCAAACGCTGGTCACACTGACACAGCGCAGAGCCACAGTCATCGTCCACGTCATCTGCGGACACACAGAGTCACGTCATCACACAGTCACAGTCACAGGTGGAGTCCTGTAGCTCAGTGGTTCGAGCATCAGCCTCATCCCAGGGTTAGAGGAGAGCAGTGAGGCTGATCCCAGGGTTAGAGACAGAGGAGAGCAGTGAGGCTGATCCCAGGGTTAGAGGAGAGCAGTGAGGCTGATCCCAGGGTTAGAGACAGAGGAGAGCAGTGAGGCTGATCCCAGGGTTAGAGACAGAGGAGAGCAGTGAGGCTGATCCCAGGGTTAGAGACAGAGGAGAGCAGTGAGGCTGATCCCAGGGTTAGAGACAGAGGAGAGCAGTGAGGCTGATCCCAGGGTTAGAGACAGAGGAGAGCAGTGAGGCTGATCCCAGTATTAGAGACAGAGGAGAGCAGTGAGGCTGATCCCAGTATTAGAGACAGAGGAGAGCAGTGAGGCTGATCCCAGTATTAGAGACAGAGGAGAGCAGTGAGGCTGATCCCAGGGTTAGAGACAGAGGAGAGCAGTGAGGCTGATCCCAGGGTTAGAGACAGAGGAGAGCAGTGAGGCTGATCCCAGGGTTAGAGACAGAGGAGACAGTGAGGCTGATCCCAGGGTTAGAGGAACGAGTTATGATTAGACACGGTCGGGCTCTTCAGCCTTGACTGGACCTTACAATAATATTCCTTGCATTTGATTTCATGCCCTATCACATCGTTTAGGAATCCCAAAGTCTGCGCTGTAAAGTGTAGTGACTGTGTATTTTGTGGGCGAAACCCGGCGGCCAATTGCGCACAGCGACGTCCCCACAAACAGCCGTGGATTGAGCGACCAAATTATTTTGATGAGGCGCACGATCGGAGGGCACAATGCCAGTGGCCATTTTGTGTGCAGCAAGGTCCCGCACACACACACGCACGCACGCATGCACGCACACACAAACACACGCACACACGCACGCACACACACATGCACGCACACACACACACACACACACCACGAGAGACACAGAGAGAGAGAGAGCGACTCAGATATCGGGGGGAAGAGGAGAAGAAACTAAATTAGTGATGGTCCCAATGCGAACGGGAGGGGGACATTGGGGAAGAAGCAAGAGCGGGTGTGGGGGGGGGGGGGTTGGGACGCAGGGGCCGGGGGGGGGGGTGCAAGAGGGAGAGGAGAGATACGTACCACATTTCACCCGCTGGTTGGAGTAGCAGTGAAAGACGTACTTGGTAAAGTAGACAGAGAAACCTGGGCAGCGAGCGATCAGCTTCGCGTAACATTGGTCATGTTTCCTACAACATCTACACAGCAAGAGAGAGATACCAGTTACTAACCACTCCACCCGTCATGTCTGTGCTGGGGCTCGCTCCCCCACTGGCGCTCTCTACTCTAACCCCATTCCTGGCTCTCTCTTTCCCCATCGTGTCTGTGCTGGGGCTCGCTCCCCCACTGGCGCTCTCTACTCTAACCCCATTCCCTGCTCTCTCTCTCTCTCTCTCTGCCCATCGTGTTGATGCTGTTGTTGGGATGTATCTGAGGATGTGTGACCTGTTAACTCCATATCAACCCGTCCTCTCCCCCAGATCAGCTGCCACTGACCTTCACTGAGAAGCCCTACCTGCCCCACCATCAGCGGTCGGGCCTTCAGCCTCACTGCCTCCGCCCTCTGGAACCCCATCCCACAGTCACTTCCCCTTGCCCCCACGCCCCTCGTGCCTTCGGTCACCTTCCTACCCCCACCCTCCTTGCCCTCCCCCCCTCCTGATCTCAACACCCAGTTCGGGTCCAAATCCCTGACTGCCCAGCGCCTTGGGACATCCTCCTGACATAAAAGAGACTACAATGTGTTGTTGTTGGGATGTATGTGAGGCTGTGTGTGTGGGGGAAGGGGGGATTGGGGTGTGGGGGGGATGTGGGGGGGGTGTATTTACCGGTCTGTGCCGTCCACCGCTGCCCCAGAGCCGTGTACCCCACACCAGCAGCCGTAATCCACGTAATCCCAGGACACGCGAGCCATTGACTTCCCGGTGCTACACGCCAGCATCTCCGCCAGCTGTACCAGGTCTCTTCTGCCCCTCCGGCCCTCTGCCCCCACCAGCAGCCCTGAGATGGGGAGATGGTAACACACAGTCACTACACATGCAACCCCTATAGCTCAGGGGTTAGAGCCCTCTCCTCGCGAGCGAGAGGACCCGGGTTTGATTCCCGGGCGGGGAGAAACGTTGGCCAAGTTCCCTCACTCCCCGCACCTCTGTTTACCGGCAGTGAGTAGGAACCCGGCCGTTAGTCGATTGTTGGATCATTTTCATGGGGTATAATCCCTTCAAAACAAAATTTGTCACTCAATCCACGACTGTTTGTGGGGACGCTGCTGTGCGCCATTGGCCACCGCGTTTTGCCCACAAAATACACAGTCACTACACTTTACAGTGTATCCTGTGAAGCGCTTTGAGACGTCTCGATGACATGATACGGCACTGGGTCAAACGCCGGGATTATTATCATATGAGTCAATCATAGCCCAACACAACAAGAGACAAACTCTAAACCGTCGGGTTGGACTATCCTCGTGAGGAGCATTAAGCTGTCTCCAAGGTGATGTTTCTGGCTTAGGATAGTCTGAATCCAGTCCCCCCCCCTCTGTGCCGGTCTCCAGTCCGGGTCCTGACCAGGAGGGGCCGCAGTGTCCCGGGGCACTCACTGCTGATGGCAGCACAGCCCGGCCCGGCTCATCAGCAGGACTGGAAGGGCCGACCAGTCACTGGGGGCCGGGAATCCTCCCCCTCAGCTCCTGGTAACCCCACAGCCAAAGCCCTAACTAACGGGGAGGGGGGTCCTCGCTGGACAAGCAGCGGGAAAGCTGCCGGACAGTGATATCAATGGCCGAGCGGTGTGGGTTTAGCCGGTTACACTCCAGCAGTTACCCCAACGCACCCTCTGGGGTCCCTCAAGCTCTTGCCAACCTGCCTTAAGATTAAAAATGAATGGGCAATCCATCACTTGGAGACATTCTAACTCCGTTCTTAAAAAAGAATTCCAAATTTAAGACGGAAAAACATTTGTTCCGCAATCCCACGGTTTCCAGCATTATATTCCTCCCAGAAATGTCCGCGCCTCCCCCTCCCTCAGGCGGACCAAACAAACACACACACAAAATAATAAAGTGTTCACTCAATCCACGACTGTTTGCGGGACGTCGCTGAGCGCAATTGGCTGCCGCGTCTCGCCCGCAGAGTACGCAGTCACTGCGCTTTACGGTATATTATGTGAAGCGCTTCGAGACGTCTCGACCACGTGATGAGACGCTGTGTCGGACACGATTCCTCTTCTGGTCACTGTTAGCGTTGCGTTCCCTCAAGTTGGCCTCTGTGCCCCTGTGTCGTTCGGCGCAATCAGGAATTCTGTCAGAATTCCCGATCCTGCAGCAGTCAATCGGAAAGAAATTCCTGGAGCAAGGACTGGAGTCCTGTCGCTCCGGGGTTAGAGCCCTCGCCTCGCAAGCGAGAGGACCCGGGTTCGATTCCCGGCGCAGGCGGCGAAACTGTGGGCGAGTTCCCTCACTCCTGCTGTCGGATCACTTTTTGGTACTATATCAAATGCGAAGATTATTATTACTGTTATTATTATTTGTTAAGAAGTCTTGTTAATGAAATAGCGCAAGTCACTGACCAGCGATGACCCAGAACAGGGCGTTGAACTCCGCAAACATGTTCAGGAATCAGTGATGTTCTCTCCGGACAGCGTTCCCAGTATCCTGTTCTCTCTCCCTCTCTCTCTCTCTCTCACTCTCTCTCTCTCTCTCCCTCCCTCGCTCTCTCTCTCTCTCTGCTCGGCACTGTGTGTGATTGCCGTGCTCTGCGCCAGGGCTGTATAGTATCGCTGTAATTATAGCCCAGAGATTTCCTCTCGCCACTCAGCACCAAGACACCAACTCACGGCACGCACAAGAGCGAGGGAGTGTGTGATCATCCTTTATTTTTAATCCCAACTCTCTCTCTCCTCACGTCCCTGCTCTCCCTCTCTCTCTCTCTCTCTCTCTCTCTCCCGATGTCCCAACTCAGCGCCCGTTAACCCTGCACCAAAGCGCTCACGGGGAGGGTGGTCCTCTTTGGACAAGCAGTGGGAAAGCAACAGTTGCCCCAACACACGCTCTGGGCTTCCCCCAAGCCTTGGCTCTTACCAACCTGTGCCTAATGCTCTCCGGAATTAGGTAAACAGGGTACATCCCTCCAGAGAGAGGGAGGGGGGAGAGAGAGAGAGAGAGAGAGAGAGAGAGAGAGAGAGCATTCCATTCCAACCATCTCTCTCTGGGATTGCCATGTGTGGGTGGGATACATGGAATTCTCAGCTCGGTTTGGAGACTCTTAAGCAACGGTGATGGGTTTCCACGGCCCAAAAAAATCTATCCCCATAGCCCTGCTCCCTCTCTCTCTCTCTCTATGTCCCTGCTCTCTCTCTCTCTCTCTCTCGCTCTCGTTCCCCACATCCCCCCTCTCTGTCTCTCTCTCTCTCTCTCTCTCTCTCGTTCCCCACATCCCCCCTTCTCTGTCTCTCTCTCTCTATGTCCCTGCTCTCTCTCTCTCTCTCTCTCTCTCTCGCTCTCTCTCTTGTTCCCCACATCCCCCCCTCTCTGTCTCTCTCTCTCTATGTCCCTGCTCTCTCTCTCTCTCTCTCGTTCCCACATCCCCCCCCCGCCCCCCCCCCCCCCCTCTCTATGTCCCTGCTCTTTCTCTCTCTCTCTCTCTCTCTCTCGTTCCCACATCCCCCCCTCTCTGTCTCTCTCTCTCTCTCTCTCTCTCCATGTCCCGACTCTCTCTGAGACCAGAGGACCACAAATCATTTGTATTCTAAGTTTGACAACTCATTTAGTAACTCTGACAACAAGAAGTATAGCTTCACATTAACTCAATACACAGGATTACAGCAGACAATATTATGTCTTCGCGCTCATGTATGGAACGCGCAGCGGGTCGGGCAGCATCTATGGAGAGAGGAAAATGAGTTAAAGTTTCAGGTCGATGACCTTTCGTCTCAAACAATTCTCTGGGTTGGAGAAACTGATGTTGAATCTCACAGCTGTATCCACAACATCTGTTCTTCTGGTGTTGTGCAGTCCTGTAGCTCAGGGGTTAGAGCCCTCTCCTCGCGAGCGAGAGGACCCGGGTTCGATTCCCGGGCGGGGAGAAACGTTGGCCAAGTTCCCTCACTCCCCGCACCTCTGTTTACCGGCAGTGAGTAGGAACCCGGCCGTTAGTCGATTGTTGGATCATTTTCATGGGGTATAATCCCTTCAAAACAAAATTCGTCACTCAATCCACGACTGTTTGTGGGGACGCTGCTGTGCGCAATTGGCCACCGCGTTTCGCCCACAAAATACACAGTCACTACACTTTACAGTGTATCCTGTGAAGCGCTTTGAGACGTCTCGATGACATGATACGGCACTGGGTCAAACGCCGGGATTATTATCAAATGAGTCATCATAGCCCAACACAACAAGAGACAAACTCTAAACCGTCGGGTTGGACTATCCTCGTGAGGAGCATTAAGCTGTCTCCAAGGTGATGTTTCTGGCTTAGGATAGTCTGAATCCAGTCCCCCCTCTGTGCCGGTCTCCAGTCAATCCACGGCTGTTTGAGGGACGCCGCTGCGGTGCGCAATTGGCCGCCGCGTTTCGCCCATAAAATATACAGTCACAACACTTTACGGTATATTCTGTGAAGCGCTTTGAGACGTCTCGAAGACGTGATAAGGCGCTGTATCAAACGCTCTCAGACGCTACCCTGCACGGAGGGCGATATAAGTTGTTTTCCATCAAACACAAGGATTATTATTATTATAATTGTTCTGCAACAACTTAATCCTCCTCGGTCACTCTCCTCCACAACTCCCTCTCCACCACCCTCGCTACCCTCGCCCCCCCCCCTCACCTCCCGAACTACCTCCTACTCACGCAATTCACACCAGTCACCTCTGCTCCCTCAAGACACGAGTGTGTGACGCTGAGCGCATCTGACTCAAATCTAACTTAACGGTCCATCGGCAGACCTGGCTGGACCTCATCAAGTCTCCCCGCTCCGCCCTCACCTCCACTAAATCCTCGTTCTACTCCAAGATAATCTTGGAGGCCAAGGACAACCCCAGCTCTTCTTCTCCACTACCAACCGTCTCCTCCACCCACCCTCTCACACCTCGCCCACCCCACCCTCTCCTCCAACTCCAACTGCGAGGAGACGCTGGACTTCCTTGAGACCAAAATCGAGGAGATCCGCTCAGCCGGCTCTGCCCTCAACTGCTACCCCCTCCCCACCTCCCCCTCAAGCCCCAGCCCCTACCCATCCCCCGCCACCGCCACACTTTCACCCTGAAAGCTCTTGTAGTTACTTGAATCTCAGAGGCTCACAGGTGGGATTCTGCCCCACCCTCACCCGGCTCCACTGGCTCCCCATCCCCCAGAGGATAGTGTTCAAAATCCTCGCCCTCGCCTCCAAAACCCTCCTCGGCCTCGCTCCTCCCCACCCCTGTGATCTGCTGACCCCATATCAACCTGTCCACTCCCTGGACTGGGAGAGGGAACTCTCAGGGAAAACCACACAGATCATTGTTTGGACACAATGTCCTTTAATTCAGATTACAGTCTCTGCCTCATAGCAAAACCGCTCTATTATTACTGACTTCACAATAATCCTAAAATACTCTCCCAATTCCCTGTTAGGTTCTTCCCAACAACAGTGGCCTGTCCACGTATCCCAGCCGTTCCTGGTAACCCCACAGCCAAAGCCCTAACCAACGGGGAGGGGGGTCCTCGCTGGACAAGCAGCGGGAAAGTTGCCGGACAGTGATATCAATGGCCGAGCGGTGTGGGTTTAGTGGGTTACACTCCAGCAGTTACCCCAACACACACTCTGGGGTCCCCCAAACCTTGGCTCTCGCCAACCTGCGCCTAATACTCTCCGGAATTAGGTAAACAGGATGTGTCCCTCCAGAGAGAGAGAGAGAGAGAGAGAGCGCATTCCATTCCAGACACGGGGAGATTCCCATGTGCGGTAGACATATGTGGGACTCTCGATTTGCTTTGGAGACCACTTAAGCACAGTGACGGGTTTTCGTGTGTGTCAGACACCGGCTGATCAAACCTCTGCCGCCCGCATTCTCACCCGCACCAAACCCCTCTCCCCGCTCCCCCCCAGTCCTGGCCAGACTGCACTGACTCCTGTCCCAGAGAGGATCCACTTCGAGATCCTCACCCTCGTATTCAAGTCCCTGCACTCCTCTGCACCCCCCGACCCCTCTGACCTCCTCTCTCCTCAGCACAGTACCCGTTGCCTTCGTTCCTCCGGGTCTGGCCTCCTCCTCGTCCCCCGAGTCCTCCGCTCCACCCTCGGCGGCTGTGCCTTCAGCCACAATGCTCCGAGGCTCTGGAACTCCCTTCCTCACTCCCTTCGTCTCGTTCCCTCTCTTCCTATTACCAGGTCTCTGCTGAAGACCTTTCTTTTCAACCGCGCCTTTGGTCGTCCAGTTTGCCGTCCCCCATCCTGGCGGTGGTTTGACACCGCAGTATAATAATAATAATAATCCCGGCACTTGACACAGCTCCTGGTCACGTCTTCGAGACGTCTCAAAGCGCTTCACAGGACACACTGTAAAGTGTAGTGACTGTGCGTTTTGGGTGCTCTAACCCCTGAGCTGCAGGACGACACAGACACAAACGCAGACACGGACGTACACGTGCGTGCTGCCATGTTATTGATGCAGCGAGTTAACCCGACCACATCGCCCCCGTTGCTGCATATAACCATTATCTCTGTGTGAGGGCTGTGGGTTTGAGGTCCTGTTTATTATCTTGGAGCTAAATATAAAGTTGCCGAGAGGCCGGGCCTCGCGTGTTGTGGATTTAGAGCCAGACCTGTAATTTAGAGCTCTCTCGCGCGCTCTCTCCCTCCCCACCCCCACCCCCGCCCCCGCTCCCCGCTCCTGTTCCCTCTCCCCCAGTCGCTGCTCGGCCCCGACCACAGCTCACGAGACACGGGGTAAATTACAGTCTGGGGTATTTTGGGATGTAAATTGTCAGTCTGAAAGCGCAGTAAAGTCCCACAGAGCTGTTTGCTCTCAGCAAAGCAATCGGCCATGTTCCCTCCCTCCCTCCCTCTCGCTCCCTCTCGCTCCCTCGCTCTCCCCCTGGCCAGAGCCACAGAAAACCACTCCCATACATAGAACTGTCTGTGTGTGTCTGTGTGTGAGACTCTGTCTATGTGTGTCTGTCCATGTGTGTGTGTGTCAGTGGGTGTTTGTCTGTCTGTGTTAGGGTGTATCTGTCTGTGTGTTTGTCCATGTGTGTGTGTGTGTGTGTGTCAGTGTGTGTTTCTGTGTGTGTCAGTGCGAGTGTGTGTGTCAATGTCTGTGTGCGTCGGAGTGTGTGTCAGTGTGTGTGTGTGTATGTCTCTGTGTGTCTGAGTGTGTGTCAGTTCATGTGCGCATGTGTCTGTGTGTGTGTGTCTGTGTCTGTCAGTCTACCCATGTGTGTGTGGGCCTGTGTGTGTGTGTGTGTGTGTGTTGGTGTGTGTGTCAGTGTTTTTTCTGCTATGCCGGGTGGGTGTCTGACATTTGGAAACCCATCACCGTTGCTTAAGAGTCTCCAAACCACTCTGAGATTCCCACACATCGCCCCCACCCGTGGAAATCCCAGAGACTGAGTCAGTGCGTGTGTCTGTGTGTGTTGCATTACAGTGTGTGTGTTATAGTGTGTTACCCCCCAACTCAGGTCCAAACCCCTCACCGCCCAGAGCCTTCGGACGTCCTCCCGACATGAAAGGCGCTGTGTAAATTTTCTCCCACAAAATACCGTCACTCCACTTTACAGTATGAACTGCCAAGTGCTTTGGAACGTCTCGAAGATGTGACGAGGCACTGTGTCAAATGCGAGGAGTATTATTAAGTGTACGTTGATGTTGTGTACGTGTGGACACAGAGTATTTGTGTGTGTGACACAGTGTGTGTGTGTGACAGTGTGTGTGTGACACAGTGTGTATGTGAGACAGTGTGTATGTGTGTGACAGTGTGTGTGTGTGACACAGTGTGTGTGTGAGACGGTGTGTGTGTGTGAGACAGTGTGTGTGTGAGACGGTGTGTATGTGTGTGACAGTGTGTGTGACAGTGTGTGTGTGAGACGGTGTGTATGTGTGTGACAGTGTGTGTGACAGTGTGTGAGAGTGTGTGTGTGTGTGACAGTGTGTGTGTGTGTGTGACACAGTGTGTGTGTGTGACAGTGTGTGTGTGTGACAGGTGTGTGTGTGTGTGTGTGTGACAGTGTGTGTGTGTGTGTGTGAGACGGTGTGTGTGTGAGACGGTGTGTGTGTGAGACAGTGTGTGTGTGTGTGACAGTGTGTGTGTGTGTGTGTGTGTGTGACACAGTGTGTGTGAGATGGTGTGTGTGTGTGTGTGAGACGGTGTGTGTGTGTGACAGTGTGTGTGTGTGACACAGTGTGTGTGTGAGACAGTGTGTGTGTGTGTGTGTGACACAGTGTGTTTGACACGGTGTGTGTGTGTGTGTGTGTGACACAGTGTGTGTGAGATGGTGTGTGTGTGTGTGTGAGACGGTGTGTGTGTGAGACAGTGTGTGTGTGTGACACAGTGTGTGTGTGAGACAGTGTGTGTGTGTGTGTGTGTGTGTGTGACACAGTGTGTGTGAGACGGTGTGTGTGTGTGAGATGGTGTGTGTGTGTGTGTGTGAGACGGTGTGTGTGTGTGAGACGGTGTGTGTGTGTGAGATGGTGTGTGTGTGAGACGGTGTGTGTGAGATGGTGTGTGTGTGTGTGTGTGAGACGGTGTGTGTGTGTGTGTGAGACGGTGTGTGTGTGACACAGTGTGTGTGTGTGACAGTGTGTGTGTGTGACAGTGTGTGTGTGTGTGACAGTGTGTGTGTGTGTGAGACGGTGTGTGTGTGAGACGGTGTGTGTGTGAGACAGTGTGTGTGTGTGTGACAGTGTGTGTGTGTGTGTGTGTGTGTGTGTGACACAGTGTGTGTGTTTGACACGGTGTGTGTGTGTGTGTGTGTGACACAGTGTGTGTGAGATGGTGTGTGTGTGTGTGTGAGACGGTGTGTGTGTGTGACAGTGTGTGTGTGTGACACAGTGTGTGTGTGAGACAGTGTGTGTGTGTGTGTGTGTGTGACACAGTGTGTGTGAGACGGTGTGTGTGTGTGAGATGGTGTGTGTGTGTGTGAGACGGTGTGTGTGTGTGAGATGGTGTGTGTGTGTGTGTGAGACGGTGTGTGTGTGTGTGTGAGACGGTGTGTGTGTGTGTGTGAGACGGTGTGTGTCTGAGACAGTGTGTGTGTGTGAGACGGTGTGTGTGTGAGTGTGTGTGTGTGTGACGGTGTGTGTGTGTGACTCAGTGTGTGTGTGACGGTGTGTGTGTGTGAGACGGTGTGTGTGTGTGAGACGGTGTGTGTGTGTGTGTGACGGTGTGTGTGTGTGTGACGGTGTGTGTGTGTGACGGTGTGTGTGTGTGAGACGGTGTGTGTGTGAGACGGTGTGTGTGTGAGACAGTGTGTGTGTGTGTGAGACGGTGTGTGTGTGAGACGGTGTGTGTGTGTGAGACGGTGTGTGTGTGTGAGACGGTGTGTGTGTGAGACGGTGTGTGTGTGTGTGACAGTGTGTGTGAGACAGTGTGTGTGTGTGAGACGGTGTGTGTGTGAGACGGTGTGTGTGTGAGACGGTGTGTGTGTGAGATGGTGTGTGTGTGTGAGACGGTGTGTGTGTGTGTGAGACGGTGTGTGTGTGTGTGTGTGAGACGGTGTGTGTGTGAGACGGTGTGTGTGTGAGACGGTGTGTGTGTGTGACGGTGTGTTTGCGTGAGACGGTGTGTGTGTGTGTGTGTGTGAGACGGTGTGTGTGTGTGTGGTGTGTGTGTGACGGTGTGTGTGTGAGACGGTGTGTGTGTGTGACACGGTGTGTGTGTGTGTGTGTGTGTGTGAGACGGTGTGTGTGTGAGACGGTGTGTGTGAGACGGTGTGTGTGTGAGACGGTGTGTGTGTGTGAGACGGTGTGTGTGTGAGACGGTGTGTGTGAGACGGTGTGTGTGTGAGACGGTGTGTGTGGTGTGTGAGACGGTGTGTGTGTCTGACGGTGTGTGTGTGAGACGGTGCGGTGTGTGTGTGTGTGTGTGTGAGACGGTGTGTGTGTGTGTGTGAGACGGTGTGTGTGTGAGACGGTGTGTGTGTGTGTGAGACGGTGTGTGTGTGTGTGTGAGACGGTGTGTGTGTGTGTGTGAGACGGTGTGTGTGTGTGTGTGTGAGACGGTGTGTGTGTGAGACGGTGTGTGTGTGTGTGTGAGACGGTGTGTGTGTGTGTGTGAGACGGTGTGTGTGTGTGTGTGAGACGGTGTGTGTGTGAGACGGTGTGTGTGTGAGACGGTGTGTGTGTGTGTGTGTGAGACGGTGTGTGTGTGTGAGACGGTGTGTGTGTGAGACGGTGTGTGTGTGAGACGGTGTGTGTGTGTGTGTGAGACGGTGTGTGTGTGTGTGTGTGAGGCGGTGTGTGTGTGTGAGACGGTGTGTGTGTGTGTGTGTGAGACGGTGTGTGTGTGAGACGGTGTGTGTGTGTGTGTGTGTGAGACGGTGTGTGTGTGAGACGGTGTGTGTGTGAGGCGGTGTGTGTGTGTGAGACGGTGTGTGTGTGAGACGGTGTGTGTGTGAGACGGTGTGTGTGTGAGACGGTGTGTGTGTGTGTGTGAGACGGTGTGTGTGTGTGGTGTGTGAGACGGTGTGTGTGCGTGAGACGGTGTGTGTGTGTGTGTGTGTGAGACGGTGTGTGTGTGAGTGTGTGTGTGAGACGGTGTGTGTGTGTGTGTGAGACGGTGTGTGTGTGTGTGTGTGTGTGAGGCGGTGTGTGTGTGAGGCGGTGTGTGTGTGTGTGTGTGTGTGTGAGGCGGTGTGTGTGTGAGACGGTGTGTGTGTGAGACGGTGTGTGTGTGAGGCGGTGTGTGTGTGTGAGACGGTGTGTGTGTGTGTGTGTGTGTGAGACGGTGTGTGTGTGAGGCGGTGTGTGTGTGTGAGACGGTGTGTGTGTGTGTGTGTGTGTGAGACGGTGTGTGTGTGAGACGGTGTGTGTGTGTGTGTGTGTGTGAGGCGGTGTGTGTGTGAGACGGTGTGTGTGTGAGACGGTGTGTGTGTGTGTGTGTGTGAGACGGTGTGTGTGTGAGACGGTGTGTGTGTGTGTGTGTGTGAGACGGTGTGTGTGTGAGACGGTGTGTGTGTGTGTGTGTGTGTGTGTGTGTGTGACGGTGTGTGTGTGAGACGGTGTGTGTGTGAGGCGGTGTGTGTGTGTGTGTGTGTGAGGCGGTGTGTGTGTGAGACGGTGTGTGTGTGACACAGTGTGTGTGTGAGACGGTGTGTGTGTGAGGCGGTGTGTGTGTGAGGCGGTGTAAGGTGAGCTGCTGCCTGTCATTAATTGATGGCTTCCCCAGGGTGCTGTTCGCCGCCTGTGAAGCTCATCAGTCAGTGAGAAGCCGGAGCCGGAGCCGTGGACAGAGCCTTGACGCAGGCCTGGCCACCCCCAGCTCCCCCGGCCCTGCGTGTGAGTGCGTGTGAGTGTGCACCGCACACGCGTGTGTGTGTGGGGTGGGGAGGGGGAGATCTCCAGCGAGATGGTGGTGTGTCCAGCGCACACGCAGCTCACAGCGACTGGTCTCAGCATCAGTCCATCAGTCACCGCACTGCTGTCACTGTGTGTGTCGGCCGCCACCGCACAGTATGGGGCTCCTGACGTGAGTGTTCAGCTCTCCCTCTCTCCCTCACTCCCTCACACTCTCCCCATCCCTCTCCCTCACTCCCTCACACTCTCCCCATCCCTCTCTCCCTCACTCCCTCACACTCTCCCCATCCCTCTCTCCCTCTCTCCCTCTCTCCCTCACACTCTCCCCATCCCTCTCTGTCTCTCTCCCTCACTCCCTCTCCCACTCCCTCACACTCTCCCCATCCCTCTCTGTCTCTCTCCCTCACTCCCTCACACTCTCCCCATCCCTCTCTGTCTCTCTCCCTCACACTCTCCCCATCCCTCTCTGTCTCTCTCGCTCTCTCACTCCCTCACACTCTCCCCATCCCTCTCTCCCTCTCTCCCTCACACTCTCTCCATCCCTCTCTCCCTCACTCCCTCACACTCTCCCCATCCCTCTCCCTCACTCCCTCACACTCTCCCCATCCCTCTCTGTCTCTCTCCCTCTCTCCCTCACACTCTCCCCATCCCTCTCTCCCTCTCTCCCTCACACTCTCCCCATCCCTCTCTCCCTCTCTCCCTCACACTCTCTCCATCCCTCTCTCCCTCACTCCCTCACACTCTCCCCATCCCTCTCCCTCACTCCCTCACACTCTCCCCATCCCTCTCTGTCTCTCTCGCTCTCTCACTCCCTCACACTCTCCCCATCCCTCTCTCCCTCTCTCCCTCACACTCTCTCCATCCCTCTCTCCCTCACTCCCTCACACTCTCCCCATCCCTCTCTGTCTCTCTCCCTCTCTCACTCCCTCACACTCTCCCCATCCCTCTCTGTCTCTCTCGCTCTCTCCGTCACACTCTCTCCATTCCTCTCTGTGTCTCTCTCTGTCTCTCTCTCTGTCTCTCTCTCTCTGTCACACTCTCTCTGTCACACTCTCTCCATCTCTCTCTCTCTCTCTCTCTCTGTCTCTCTCTCTCTCCGTCACACTCTCTCCATTCCTCTCTGTGTCTCTCTCTGTCTCTCTCTCTCTGTCTCTCTCTCTCTGTCACACTCTCTCTGTCACACTCTCTCCATCTCTCTCTCTCTCTGTCTCTCTCTCTCTCTGTCACACTCTTTCCATCCCTCTCTGTGTCTCTCTCTGTCTCTCTCTCTGTCTGTCTCTCTCTGTCACACTCTCTCTGTCACACTCTCTCCATCTCTCTCTCTCTCTCTCTGTCTCTCTCTCTCTCTCTCTGTCACACTCTCTCCATCTCTCTCTGTCTCTCACTCTCTCTCTCTGTCACACTCTCTCCATCTCTCTCTGTCTCTCACTCTCTCTCTGTCACACTCTCCATCTCTCTCTGTAACACTCTCTCCATCTCTCTGTCACACTCTCTCCATCTCACTCTGTTTCTCTCTCTCTCTTTGTCACACTCTCCATCTCTCTCTGTCACACTCTCTCCATCTCTCTATCACATTCTCTCCATCTCTCTATCACACTCTCTCCATCTCTCTCTGTCACACTCTCTCCATCTCTCTCTGTCACACTCTCTCCATCTCGCTCTGTTTCTCTCTCTCTCTCTCTGTCACACTCTCCATCTCTCTCTGTCACATTCTCTCCATCTCTCTATCACACTCTCTCCATCTCTTTCTGTCACACTCTCTCCATCTCTCTGTCACACTCTATCCATCTCTCTCTGTCTCTCTCGCTCTCTGTCACACTCTCACTCACTCTATCTGTCTTTCACTCTATCTCTGTCACACTCACTCTCTGTCACACTCTCTGTCACCTTCTCTCCTTCTCTGTCACACTCTCGCTCTCTGTCTCTCTCTCTCTCTGTCACACTCTCTCTATCTCTCTGTCTTTCACTCTATCACTGTCACACACATTCTCTATCTCTCTGCCTGTCACCCAATCTCCCTCATTCTCTGTCTCTCTCCCTCTGTCACCCTTCCTCCCTCTCCCTTTCTGTGTGTGTGTCTTCCTCTGTCACACTCCCCCTATCTCTTTCTCTCTGTCTTTCTGTTACGCTCTCTCTATCTCTCTCAGTCTGTCACCCAATCTTCTTCTCTCTTTCTCTGGCCCTATGTCTTTCTCGCTGTCTCTCTCTCTCTCTCTGTCACTCTCTCTCTCTCTCTCTCTCTCTTTCTCTCTCTGTCTTTCTCACATACACTCTATAACTCTCACTCACTTGTCTGTCGTCCAATCATAGAATCGTAGAGTACTACGGCACAGAGGGAGGCCATTCGGCCCATCGTGTCTGTGCCGACTCTTTGGAAGAGCCACGCGATCAGCCCCTCTCCCGCTCTTACCCCATATCCTTGCAAACGTTTCCTTTTAAGTACCTGTCTAATTCCCTTTTCAAAGTTATTACCGAATCTGCTTCCACCGCACACTTCTCTGCATTATTGTGGAGTCCTGTAGCTCAGTGGTTAGAGCACTCGCTTTGCAAGCGAGAGACCTGAGTTCAATTCCAGGCAGAGGGCGAAACCTTGGGCAAGTTTCCTTACTCCACACAGAGCCTAATAATAATCCCTCCAAAACCAAAAACAATAATAAATTGGTCATTTTCAATCTACGACTGTTTGTGGGACATTGCTGTGCGCAATTGGCTGCCGCGTTCGCCCACAAATATACAGTCAATTCACTTTACAGTGTGTTCTGTGAAGCGCTTTGGGACGTCCTCCCGACGAGAAAAGCACTATATCAAAATGCAAGGATTATTATTATTATTATTAAACTTCATCTGCCGTCGGTCTGCCCATGTCACCAGTCTGTCTATGTTCTCCTGCAGTCTACTCCCATCCTCCTCACTGTTTACCACGTTGCCAAGTTTTGTGCCACCTGCAGGCTTTAAAATGGGTTTTTTTCTATACCCAAATGCTCTTTAAACCCAAGTCCGAGTCATTCAGACGTACCAAAAAGTGCGGTGGGTCTAACGCTGACCCCTGGGCTCTCTCCCCATCGTGTCTGTGCTGGGGCTCGCTCCCCCACTGCAGCTCTCCACTCTAACCCCATTCCCCGCTAACCTGGGACCTACTAACCCCCAAACCAACCTGTCCGCTCCCTCCGCTCGGCGGCCTCCAGCCCACCCCACCATCGGCAGTCAGACCCTCAGCCTCTCCGCCCCCCACCCTCTGGAACTCCATCCCACAGTCCCTTCCCCTCACTCCGTCCCTTGTTGTTGCTTTAGGCTGAACGCTGACCTGTACCTCTCTGGTTTACAGGCCACCACTGACCCCCCCCGGAAGAAGCCGGACCCTGTGACCTCGGAGACGGTGGTGTTTTGGGGGCTTCGGCTCTGGCAGGTCATCGGGGTCTTCTCTATCTTCGCTCTCGCCGTCAGTAAGTCTTCCCGGCCCCCTTCCCCCCCGGGGTTCAATCCCCACACTCAGCACCCCCGGCTCAGCACCTCGACCTCTGATCCCCCTCCCAGGGTCAGGAGGTGGTGGGTTCGAGCCCCACACATCGGGGTCTCTGAGCTCACAGTCCAGGCTGAGGCTCCAGCCCAGCGCCGGGGGGGAGAGAGAGAGAGAGAGACCATTCTCCGAGACGCCGTCCTTCAGATGAGACGTTAAACCTCACTCCCCGTCTGTGCTCTGTTCAGGCGGACGTTAAAGATCCCGCGGGAAGATCCCCCCCTCACCCCCCTCCATGTGTGTGTGTGTGTGGGGGGGGGGGGGTGAAGGGGGGTTCAAACTCACGCCCCAATTTCCACGTGACCGAGAGAAAGATCTGATGGATGGAGATGTGATATGGCTGGAGAGCGTGTGTGGGGGGAGTGGGGTGGTGAACGGGGTGAATGGGGGGGTGTGGGGGGGGATTGCCGTGGTTGGCAGGTGTTCAGATGGGGTGGAGGGGGTGGAGGATTATCCTGACGTCACCTCAGAGCCAGAGCTTCGCGATGAAACCGTCAGAGAAGCAGCCACAGTAATTACTGAGGGAGTCACACATCACAGCGTAATTAGCAGTGATGGCGTTCGCCTGTTTACCACCTCGACTGTCACACTAATCACCAGGAGCTCCTGTGAGTGACTTAGTCAGACCTGACAGCTCCGACATTCCCACCCGCTCGGGAACAAATCCCTCGCTCCCGGCCACCCATCCATCCCCCACCTTAATCACTCTCCCACCTCACGCTGTGTGTGGGATCCCTCTGCAGCACAGAGATTGATGGCGTTATCTTTGCATTTGACGCAGCGCCTGATCACGTCGTCGAGACGTCTCAGAGCGCTTCACAGGATACACTGTGAAGCGTAGTGACTGCGTATTTGTGGGCGAAACGCGGCAGCCAATTGCGCGCATCAGCGTCCCCACAAACAGCCGTGGATTGAGGAAGGGGAAAAGAATGGATTGTCGAAGCTGTGGGAAGCAACGTATCACCTGTGCAGTTCTGTAGCTCAGTGGTTAGAGCCCCCCTCTGTGCCGGTCTCCAGTCCGGGTCCTGACCAGGAGGGGCCGCAGTGTCCCGGGGCACTCACTGCTGATGGCAGCACAGCCGGCCCGGCTCATCAGCAGGACCTGGAAGGGCCGACCAGTCACTGGGGGCCGGGAATCCTCCCCCTCAGCTCCTGGTAACTCATCGTGTCTGTGCTGGGGGTCGCTCCCCCACTGGCGCTCTCTACTCTAACCCCCTTCCCTGCTCTCTCTCTCTCTCTCTCTCTCTCTCTCTCCCCATCGTGTCTGTGCTGGGGATCGCTCCCCCACTGGCGCTCTCTACTCTAACCCCATTCCCTACTCTCTCTCTCTCTCCCCATCATGTCTGTGCTGGGGATCGCTCTCCCACTGGCGCTCTCTACTCTAACCCCAATCCCTACTCTCTCTCTCTCTCCCCATCATGTCTGTGCTGGGGATCTCTCCCCCACTGGAGCTCTCTTCTCTAACCCCCTTCCCTGCTCTCTCTCTCTCTCTCTCTCTCCCCATCGTGTCTGTGCGGGGGCTCGCACCCCCACTGGCGCTCTCTACTCTAACCCCATTCCCCGCTCTCTCTCTCTCTCCCCATCGTGTCGTTGCTGGATGATAACTTTCGGCTTGACATTTGTTGGGAAGCTCAGACTGTTTGTGCCCCAGAGGTTGCTGTATGTCACGCAGAGCTCCCGGGTGATGAGCCATGTTCTAGACGTGTATTTGTTGACCTCCCGCGACTTCCAGCTATATTTAATCCTCGTCCCCTGTTAACAAGACCTCTGACCTCGTCTTGTCTTTGCCTCTTAAGTGTTGGCTGAAACTGGGTCCTGGGGGTGGATTTATTCACGACCAACTGAGCTGCTCTGAGCAAAGGGCAGTGAGACTCGTCACTCCCACACACATACAGCCTTCACTCCGGGGGGTGTTTGGGGGCTGGGGGTGGGGGGGGGTGGGGGGGGGATGGTTGGGAGACGTCTGGACACCAGGAGAATATTAATACAGTCACACAAACCCCCACTCGTCCCCCAGGCTTCACACGTTCGTCGTTAAATCATAATAATAATAATCCTGGCGTTTGACACAGCGGCTTATCGCGCCATCGAGGCGTCTCGAAGCGCTTCACAGGATATACCGTAAAGTGTAGTGACTGTGTATTTTGCGGCAGCCAATTGCACACAGTAAATCCCACAAACAGCTTCAGAGCGAGTGGGCAATGTTATTTGGGGGATTGCTGTCCAGGACACCGGGAGAGAGAGAGAGAAACTCCCTTCTCTTTTCCAGTAGCCCCGCGGGATCTTTACCATCCACTGAACAGGCAGACGGGACCTCGGGTTAACATCTCCTCCCGAGGACGGCACCTCCCACAGTGCCCCCCCCCACCCCCCCACCCCCAGCGCTGTATTGGAACATCAGCTTAGACTGTGTGATGCCAAGTCCTGACGTGGGGGTTGAACCCACAGCCTCGTGACTGAGAGCGCGATACCCTGTGGTCGGGCAAACACAGCAAAGAGAGTCTCCAAATCAGCTCTTTTCTGATGTCAGCCATGTCCCGGTTACAGATTGGGTCTCTGTGTTACAGCATCAGTGTCAGTGTGTGTATGTGTTACTGTGTGTGTCTATTACTGTGTGTGTTAGTGTGTGTGTATATTAATGTGTGTGTGTGTGTGTTACTGTGTGTGTATGTAACAGTGTGTGCGATAATGTGTGTGTAAAACGGTGTGTGTAACGATGTGTGTGTGTGTGTGTAACGTGTGTGTAACGGTGTTTGTGTGTGTAATGGTGTGTGTGTGTGTAACAGTGTGTGTATCGGTGTGTGTGTAACGTGTGTGTGTGTGTGTGTGTAACGGTGTGTGTGTGTAACGGTGTGTGTGTGTGTGTGTAACGTGTGTGTGTGTAACGTGTGTGGGTGTGTAACGTGTGTGAGTGTGTAACGTGTGTGTGTGTGTGTAACGTGTGTGTGTGTGTGTGTAACGTGTGTGTGTGTGTGTGTAACGTGTGTGTGTGTGTGTAACGTGTGTGTGTGTGTGTAACGTGTGTGTGTGTGTGTAACGGTGTGTGTGTGTGTGTAATGTGTGTGTGTGTGTGTAATGTGTGTGTGTGTGTGTGTAACGTGTGTGTGTGTGTGTAACGTGTGTGTGTGTTACGTGTGTGTGTGTAACGTGTCTGTGTGTGTGTAACGTGTGTGTGTGTGTGTAACGTGTGTGTGTGTGTGTGTAACGTGTGTGTGTGTGTGAGTGTGTGTAACGGTGTGTGTGTGTGTGTAATGTGTGTGTGTGTGTAATGTGTGTGTGTGTAACGGGGTGTGTGTGTGTAATGTGTGTGTGTGTAACGTGTGTGTGTGTAACGTGTGTGTGTGTGTGTAACGTGTGTGTGTGTGTAACGGTGTGTGTGTGTGTGTAACGGTGTGTGTGTGTGTGTGTAACGTGTGTGTGTGTGTGTAACGTGTGTGTGTGTGTGTAACGTGTGTGTGTGTGTGTAACGTGTGTGTGTGTGTAACGTGTGTGTGTGTGTTACAGTTATCGTGCTGTGCTGTATATTTAAATGCCGAATCCCTCGCACCAAGAAGGAGATTGAGGCTCGCTATGCCAAGCGCCAAGCGGCCAAGAAATACGCCAACACCTTAGAGAACGTCCCCCCCCTCAACGAGCTGACCGAGATCCCAGGAGGTAAGGGAGGGGGGCTCGGGGGGGGGGGGGGGGCTGAGGGGAGGAGTCGAGGGGGAGTCATGAACACAGGTCCATACACACACAATCATCATCATCATCATCATCATCAGAGTCCTGTAGCTCAGTGGTTAGAGCCCTGGCCTCACAGGTGAGGGACCTGGGTTCGATTCTCGGGACAGGGCGACATGTCGGGCAAGTGTCCTTACTCCACACGTAGCAGTCAGTAGGAGCCCGTTTGTTAGTCGATTGGCGGATAACCTTCCGGGGGTAATAATCCCTCCAAAAAAATAGAAAATAACCGCTCAATCCACGACTGTTTGTGGGGACGCTGCTGTGCGCAATTGGCTGCCACGAAATACACAGTCACTACACTTTGCGGTATATTCTGCGAAGCGCTTTGAGACGTCTCGACGACGTGATGAGGCGCTGTGTCAAAGGCCAGGATTGTTGTTATTATTATAGGGGTAACGCCGCTCACCTGGTTACTGAGCACCAGAGGCTTTAATACCCATCTCATTCTCTCGTCTCTGCTCTGTCTCTGTCCTCACCCCTCTCCTCTCTGTCTCCCCCTCTCCCTTTCTCTCTCCTCAGGCTCTTCGGACACTGTCCCTCTGCACACGGTCTCGGGGTTTTACCCCCAGCGCTCCCTCCACTCCCTGCCCGAACTCCGAGAGGAAGAGGAGCTGGCTTCGCACTGAGCGGGGGCGAAGGAGGGGAGGGGGTGGGGGAGAGGAGAGGGGGAGGAGGGGAGAAGGAGGGAGGGAGGCAGAGGGAGTGTGAGGGAGAGAGGGAGGGGGGGGGAAGGGAATGAGAGAGGAACTTCTCAAGATTCTCAACGTCCACACGTGCCATAATGCTCAACACCCCCCACACCCCCACTCCTCTTTCTCTCCCCACCTCTCTCTCTCTCTCACCTTCTCTCTCCCCCCCCCCTCTCTCTCCCTCTCCCCCTCTCTCCTACACCATAGACAGAGTGAGGCCAGTGAGAGGGATTGATCGGGGGGGGGGGGGGGGGTGGGGGGGTCCAGTGTTGACAAGGAGGGGATCAATGCAATAAACCACTCGACTGATCGAGCCACAGTAAGAGCAGTGAGTGTGTGTTTAATTAGCGGACGAACAAACGTTTCACAAGTCCCGCAGGCACATGTAGTGACTGTGTGTCTGGTCAAACGTGGCAGCCATTGTCCCCAGCTTCGTCTGCACACAGAGACTGACCCTGAGGATTGTTCCCAAGGATTCGGAGAGAGAGAAACTCCCATCCCTTTACCCACGTCGGGGTCTCTGAGCTCACAGTCCAGGCTGAGGCTCCAGCCCAGCGCCGGGGGGAGAGAGAAACCACTGTCAGAGACGCCGTCCTTCAGATGAGACGTTAAACCTCACTCCCCGTCTGTGCCCTGTTCAGGGGGACAACAATACATTATATCTGTATAGCACCTTTCACGTTGGGAGGATGTCCCAAGGCGCTGGGTCTTATATGGCACCGGCACAGCAGTCATGAGGGCTGTGTTGTTCCCACTCACCCAGTACCCAATTTTAACCCAACAAACCAGAGTCCTAGTTAGAGACACAGTAAAGCTCCTCTACACTGTGTGTCCGTCCACACTCCCAGGTCAGGGTTAGAGACACAGTAACACACAGTCACTACACTCCCAGGTCAGGGTTAGAGACACAGTAACGCTCCCTCTACACCTCATGATAATCCTTGTGTTTGACAAACTTGCAACAACCTCAAAACATCTCAAAGTTCTTGACGGAGAATTTCGATGATCAGCCGGTGTCTGACACCCACAGAAACCCTCCCGTGTGTAACGTGTCGGTCTGTGTTCTCTCCCGGTTCCCGGTCGCAGCCGTCCCAGAGGTCGTCAGTAAGAAGGACGTCCCCACGGTCTCCGGCAAACTGGCTGCCGAGTCGGGTAAGAAGAACGGACAGAAGACTGAGGGGCCGAAGAGGACCAAGGAGGGCAAGGAGGGGGCGAGGGGCGAGGCCAGCGAGGCGGCCAATAAGAAGGGGAAAGGACACAGCGAGGCCAAGAAAGATGGCGGGAAGAGCGAGGGCAAAGGTCAGGGGAAAGCGAGGCCTACTGGCCAAAGGCCTCCGGCCAAGAAACCCCCGTAGGGGTCCCACCCCTCCCCCCACGTGTGACATTGGACTCACTGTCATCGGCACAAACTGTCGTCCCTATCTCTCTATTTCTCTATCTCTCTGCTTTCCCTCTTTCTTTCTCCTCCATCTCTGCCCTCTCTCTCTTTTTCTCTCCCTTCTCTATACCGCTCTCTCGCTCTCTCTCTCTCTCTCTCTCTCTTCACTCACTTCCTCCTGTCTTTCTCTCTCACTCTCTCACGCTCTCTCTCAGTCCGTTCCCTCACTCTGTAGCTCCAAACCGCCACCAGCACCGCCCTCGTCACTCGCTCACTGGAAAGATCCTGGTCAGTCTGCGACATCAAAACGTCTCAGGAGATTCACTGTGAAGTGTAGTGACTGTGTGTTTTGCGGGCGGCCAATTCGCGCCCAGCGACGTCCCCACAAACAGCCGTGAGGTGAGCGAGTGACTGTATCCGGGGATTGTCGGCCCGGACACCGGGAGAGAGAGAGAGAGAGAGAAAGTTCCTTCTCTTAACGTCCGCCTGAACAGAGCACAGACGGGGAGTGAGGTTTAACGTCTCATCTGAAGGACGACGTCTCTGACAGTGGTCTCTCTCTCTCTCCCCCCCCCCCCCCATCGCTGGGCTGGAGCCTCAGCCTGGACCGTGAGCTCAGAGACCCCGACTTGGGGCTCGAACCCACAACCTCAAGGCGTAGTGCGAAGTCTGGCTCTGTGGCCATGTCTGTCAATCACAACGCAGTCTGTCAGTGGTGAGTGACGGGTAAGTAAATGAGTTGGTGAATCTGAACTCTTCTCACAGTTTAGAAGCTCTCAAGATGACAGGACATGTTGTAAGTGACTCAAATGTGAACATTAAAGAGAATTCACCTCATCTTTATGTCAACTTCAATTCCGATCAGAGTTTAATCCATTACTTCGGTGGAAAATGTTTTTATTTTAACCAGCCGGTGTCTGACACACGCGGAAACCCATCACTGTGCTTAAAAGTCACTAAACCAGTCCAAGAGTCCAATCCAGGGGTTCAATGCATTACAAGATGGCATTTACATGGTGCCTTTCACGTTGGGAGGATGTTCAAGGGTAGGAGGATGGTGAAGGGTTTTGGATGGGCCTTAAAGGAGGCGAGGGAGGGAGCGAGGCAAAGGGAATGCGCAATGGAGTTCCATAGGGTGGGGGCAGAGCGGCTGAAGGCCCGACCGCCAATGGTGGGTTTGGCCGGGCGGGGGACATGGAGCAGGACACAGCCAGCTGAGCTGAGGGAGCAAACAGGTCGATATGGCGTCAGCAGGTCACAGAGATAGGAAGGGGCAAGGCCTGGAAGGTGAGGACGAGGATTTTGAACTGTATCCTCTGTGGGAATGGGAAGCCAGTGGACTCGGGAGAGGATGGGGGTGATAGGGTCACGGAGCCCGATGGGGGTGATAGGGTCACGGAGCCCGGTGCGGGAGAGGACACGGGCTGCAGAGTTCTGGCTCATCTGCATCTTGTGAAGGTAGGAGTTGGGGAGGCCTCAAGGTAATGAAGGCATGTGTGAGGGTCTCGGGGGCTGCGGTGTGAGACAGTGGCGGAGCCGGGGGATGTTGCGGAGGTGGGGAAGGCAGAGCGGGTCATGGCACAGATGTGGGGTAGAAAGGATAGTTGAGGGTCAAACAAGACGCCAAGGTTCGGGACTGGCTCAGTGAGGGGGAGTGAGCCCCATGGATGGTGATGCTGTCAGCGCCTGAGGTGAGGAGGCGCTGACGGGAGTCAATCAGGAGCATCGGTCTTGTTGACGTTCAACTGAAGAAAGTTCGCTCTGATCCAGGACTTGACGTCTGACAGACATTCTGTCAGGACAGCAGTGGGTCCTGGAGTCGAGGGCGGAGGTAGAGAGGGAGAGTTGGGTGTCATACATGTGGAAGTTGACCTCATGTCTGCGGATGGTGTCACCAAGAGATCATATAGATATTGAAGAGGAGGGACCAAGGACAGAGCCCTGAGGAACGCCGCACGAGAGGGTGGGGGGGCTGGAGGAGGAGCCGTTTGAGGAGATGAAGTGCAGGGGGTGTGAGAGGTACCATCTGAACAGTCAGGACAGAGCCGTGAAGGTTGAGGTGAGAGGAGGGACGGTGGATGAGGACAGAGCAGTCGGCGGTGTCGAAGGCAGCAGAGAGGTCAAGGAGGACGAGGAGGCAGAGGCAGCCCTGGTCACAGATGGAGCGGGGTCGGGGGCACGGTCTGTGTGTGGGGTGGGGGTGCAGGGGTGGGGTTACTGCTATGGTATCGGGGTGTATTGCCGCCCACGGTGTTTGTGGACTCAGTGAGCAGCACAGACACCAGCAGAGTCTCAGCTGCCGCTGTTCTCACTGATTCTGTGACAGATTGGGGTAAATGGGGTCTCCTCGGGGCTGAATGTCAGATCGAGACCCCCCTCTGTGCCGGTCTCCAGTCCGGGTCCTGACCAGGAGGGGCCGCAGTGTCCCGGGGCACTCACTGCTGATGGCAGCACAGCCCGGCCCGGCTCATCAGCAGGACCTGGAAGGGTCGACCAGTCAATGGGGGCCGGGAATCCTCCCCCTCAGCTCCTGGTAACCCCACAGCCAAAGCCCTAACTAACGGGGAGGGGGGTCCTCGCTGGACGAGCAGCGGAAAGCTGCCGGACAGTGATATCAATGGCCGAGCGGTGTGGGTTTAGTTGGTTACACTCCAGCCGTTAGCATAAGAACATAAGAAATTCTAGACGAGAAAAGACCAAGATCCCTCCAGTTCACCTTCCACCTTCCTGGCGTCATATGCACATGTGTCCCAAACTCCCTATGTGCTGTATCCCATAATCTGTGTTTGAAAGAATCAACATTTCCTGCTTCAACCGTCCCCCGGGAGCCTGGTCCACAGGGTCACTATTCACTCACTGAAATAGTGCTTCGGTCGATTTGTTCTGAATTTACCCTTCAATCGCAGACCGTGGCCTCTGGTTTCACTCTTCTGGTTAAGGTGAAGCCGTCTGTTATGATCTATATTGTTTTGCCGCTTAGCAGCCAAAATAGTGGGTCAATCCTTCCACTGTATAGATCATTAATGAGACCGTACTTACACAGTCCTGATCACCGCAGTGCAAAAGGATATGGGGGAAACGAGAGGATACAGAGGAGGGCAACCAAAATGATTGAGGGAGTGGAGGGACTGGACTGTGAGGAGCGACTCAGTAAATTGTGGAAAAGAGGAGATTGAGAGGCGACGCGATCGCTGTCTTTAAGATTCTAAGAGTCCCCTACGTTTTGGGGGAGCAAACCCACAATCTCCTGACTCCGAGGCGAGTGACTGAGCCGGGCTGAGGTACAAGTGGGGTAGATGGGGCAGGGTTGGGAACGGCCTGTCTCCCTGGGATCGAGCACAAACTCTGCTTGAGCCAGTGAGCCAGTGGAGAGGTGAGATCACAGGCTCACTTTAAACTCTTGTCTCAGTCGGACGCAGTCTCCCTCCTCTGCCCTAAGTACCCCCCTCGTTCACATCTCTGTTATTGTCCAGTCTGTCTCCTCCCTCTCCATATCACAGCACAGACCACAATCACCTCATCCTCTCACACCGTCCCACCCTCATCTCATCCCTTTATCCGTGTGACACAGCGATAGAGTAGAAAGCTTCAGAGGGAAAGTGAACACCAGCACAGACCCGACAGAGAGAGGGAGAGAGAACAGGAATGGCGATAGAATAGAGAGCTCCAGTGGGGGAGTGAGGGGAAAGTGGGGTTAGATTGGGGGGAGTGAGGGAGAGTGGGGTTAGACTGGGGGGAGAGTGGGGTTAGACTGGAGGGAGTGAGGGAGAGTGGGGTTAGACTGGGGGGAGTGAGGGAGAGTGGGGTTAGACTGGAGGGAGTGAGGGAGAGTGGGGTTAGACTGGGGGAGTGAGGGAGAGTGGGGTTAGACTGGGGGAGTGAGGGGAGAGTGGGGTTAGACTGGGGGAGTGAGGGAGAGTGGGTAGACTGGGGGAGTGAGGGGAGAGAGGGGTTAGACTGGGGGAGTGAGAGAGAGTGGGGTTAGACTGGGGGAGTGAGGGAGAGTGGGTTAGACTGGGGGGAGAGTGGGGTTAGACTGGGGGAGTGAGGGAGAGTGGGGTTAGACTGGGGGGAGTGAGGAGAGTGGGTGAGACTGGGGGAGTGAGGGAGAGAGGGGTTAGACTGGGGGAGTGAGGGAGAGTGGTGTTAGACTGGGGGAGTGAGGTGAGAGTGGGGTTAGACTGGGGGAGAGTGGGGTTAGACTAGGGGAGTGAGGGGAGAGTGGGGTTAGACTGGGGGAGTGAGGGGAGAGTGGGGTTAGACTGGGGGGAGTGAGGGGAGAGTGGGGTTAGACTGGGGGGAGTGAGGGGAGAGTGGGGTTAGACTGGGGGAGTGAGGGGAGAGAGGGGTTAGACTGGGGGAGTGAGGGGAGAGAGGGGTTAGACTGGGGGAGTGAGGGAGAGTGGGGTTAGACTGGGGGTAGTGAGGGAGAGTGGGGTTAGACTGGGGGGAGTGAAGGGAGAGTGGGATGAGACTGGGGGGAGTGAGGGGAGAGTGGGGTTAGACTGGGGGGAGTGAGGGAGAGTGGGGTTAGACTGGGGGAGTGAGGGAGAGTGGGGTTAGACTGGGGGAGTGAGGGAGAGTGGGGTTAGACTGGGGGGAGTGAGGGGAGAGTGGGGTTAGACTGGGGGAGAGTGGGGTTAGACTGGGGGAGTGAGGGAGAGTGGGTTAGACTGGGGGGAGTGAGGGGAGAGTGGGTTAGACTGGGGGAGAGGGGAGAGTGGGTTAGACTGGGGGAGTGAGGGGAGAGTGGGGTTAGACTGGGGGGAGTGAGGGGAGAGTGGGGTTAGACTGGGGGGGAGTGAGGGGAGAGTGGGGTTAGACTGGGGGGAGTGAGGGGAGAGTGGGTTAGACTGGGGGAGAGAGGGGAGAGTGGGGTTAGACTGGGGGGAGTGAGGGAGAGAGGGGTTAGACTGGGGGGAGTGAGGGGAGAGTGGGGGGAGAGAGGGGTTAGACTGGGGGGAGTGAGGGGAGAGTGGGGTTAGACTGGGGGAGTGAGGGGAGAGTGGGGTTAGACTGGGGGGAGTGAGGGGAGAGTGGGTTAGAATGGGGGGAGAGAGGGGAGAGTGGGGTTAGAATGGGGGGAGAGAGG